ACGTGGGTGCGTTAAAAGAGTGAAACCCCACTATTCGATTAGAGTGACCAAGAGCTGGCGGTTCCGCATTAAAAAACGTGGGTGCGTTAAAAGAGTGAAACCCCACTATTCGATTAGAGTGACCCAAGAGCTGTAGGTGGATGCTGTTAACAAACTGCCTACTCTCTATTCTGTAAGTCCAAAATTAGGGACGGTTTTGCCAGATCTTCCGAAACGAAGCAAACCAAGAACTTATATGAGCGTCTGAGCAGTATTGTAAACAACAAAGTAACAAGATAATATTCTTATCATGAATTTACGACATCGCCATAACCTACAACTGGAAAAGCAGCAAGCCGAAAAAAAACAAACAACTGTGTTTGTAGTGAGTAAAACCTAACTAATAATCCTATATAAAAAAAGTGTAAGTAAAAAGTAAGAAGGCTTAATGCAATTGACAAAATTAATGCTTCTTTTTTTCTTTTTCTTTTTACACAATTAAACACAAATACTGTCATTAGAGGGCAGCACATTCTTCCGATTAACTGTGCGAGGTTTGACAAAGTTACGTCTGACAAACATATTAAAAGTTTGTATCATTGTATGAATCGTTTAACGAAATATAATCACATACAGACACATAATAAAATATCTTTATTTCAACTACTAATGAACGATCTGAAGTCTTTGTATAGACAACAACTGAAACTTTTATTTGATATTAACAATAAACAATAAGCAAAATACTAAGTAGCTTTTGCGACATTTTGTGAAATTTAAGGTTTTGTTAAGACTTGATATTGATTTTATAATATGAAATAAGTTTCATAACTTGATTTTTTGTTATGTGCCATATAACGTAATACAGCTAATATTAACGATTTAGTCCCAAAAGTCCACCAGAGGCTCAATGGCAGGTCTGAAGGCTTATATCCCGGTGGGCAAAGATCCAAAATGTTGGAAAAATCATTATTCCCTTCTAAATGTTACCACCTTTTCATTTTATCATCTCCGTTTCGAGTAAGTTCGAATTTTAAAATTATTAATACTTGCTAAAACTTCACTAATGAAAGAAAATCTTATTATTAAATAAAATGACACAATTAAATAATATGTGTGAAGGTGATAATGGTTATAGTAAACATAGTAATAATAGTAATAAGAGTTCAAAATTGCATGAAGACAAGAGTAATTATGACAACAGTAATACCGAAAATAAGTAATTTAATAATTACCAGAAAATTCTCGTGTACATTTTGCAGCAGTTACAATCTAAAACACGTGTTTAAAGATGATCAACTACGTATGAAAAACACAAATGTTTACACATATAACAACTCACTAGTAGAAATACATGAAATGCCCAAAAAAAAGAGAGGGGAATAGTTACAAAAGAAACATATCTCTCTCCATATATGTAATATATAGGGTTAGCTCTGTTGGTCTTATTTCGTTGATAAATAATGCATATTTTATTATCTGTGTTACTCATAGTTTGTGTTGCATCCTTCCAGTTACTATCACTATTTAATTAAATAATTTTACTACTAATAAGGTATTTTGAAAGTGTACTTAAAACTAGAAATGAAATTAATCAACTTAATACTAAACAGAGGTTATAAAACAGCATAATGGGAATTAAACAACACAGAAACCTGGTATTTTTCTGCTATCTAATGTTATAAGACAACATAATTAATAAACTTAAATATCACTTATTGTCTCCTAACTTGAGCATTAATCTGCTGAGCATTATTTTCTCTCTGATGCTGTGAGATTTGTCTGTTACTTTCATATCACCAGAAATGATATCTTTAGGAATTCACCTTCTGTTAACAGTCAGTTTTTATATGTTATACTATTATAATACAATAATATTAAATAGATAATTAATTAATTGATTAATCTAATGTACATAGTACAGAGGGTCAAATACATCATATTATAATGATTTTGAATATGCAAATCAGCAAGTCACGTGACAACCACATCCAATATAAAGTCTCAATAGAAAGTCATATCCCTTGTACTTATGAATATGGATCAACTTGGCGAAACAGGACCATCCAGAAAGAAGCCTGTAAAAAATTGTACCCCAGTCATGGTTTGTAATAGATCAGAAGCAAAAGCCGCTTACGTTCCCCCTACACGAGATAATCAAGAAGAATCCAATTGAAAAAGCACCAAAAATTAGGAATACTCAAGCTAATTCCACGACATATCCATTCAATCATCACATACTTCAGGCAGCTGGAGGATGAAATATGTATTAATGCTATTCAGTTGAAATATACACCGGTTAAATCGCAGGAATCGCTGCCTATGGATTATTGTGCGGTCTGTAGAGTAGATGGATTATGGAAAGGAATGGCATGCAAGGAGGAATATCGTACTTTAAACGTGAAAGCCTTGTAATAGAGCCTCTTGCGCTTCAGAACTATTGTTATGCTGCACGGTCTTCAGATAGAAGATGACCTAACGTGTCGACACGTACTGTAACGACGTGGTGAGGCTTTAGAATCGCTTTAATACAACGTACTCAAACTCTGTAATTTTATGTCACCATCACGTTGTGCCGTGTCTTGAGAGTACAGTAACAAACATTCTTTTAGTTGCTTTTTTTTTGTACTTTAATGTCACTTACACGTGTACATTTCTGATCTTTCACTACATGTGTTGCATCTTACGTCACAGCACCAGTGGAATTTACAGTTGCATTGCCTGGTTCGTCTAAACAGATGGGTGTTATAACCCCGTCCACAGCACATCAAGCTGCATCCATCGTAATCTTTAGATGTTCGATTACAGCGCCGCCCTACGGTCCCAGGTGATCCAACGGACAAATTTGTTTCGCAGTAGTTTGGAGAGCTTTGTAAATAAACAAGATCATTGGATTTCGGCTTAGAATCAAACATCTTAGACCTGCGCACGCGTAGATGTAGTGAATGCGAAAATCCCTTTTTCTCGCTCAGGGAAAGAACTACTTTCTTCGATTTTCGATACTTTTTCATTAAAAAGTCACCAATATGGCTGAACGAGTGCAAAGTCTTCCAGCAAGTGCGAATGGTACAAGAACCTGAGACGCCATGACACTTGCATTCTGTCAACAAGCTCCGTTTGACTGCCTAAAAATTAAATTAATAATAGTTTTCATTCCATCAACACTTTTTGAAAATTCACTTGGTTAGGAAATCTTAATGTTCTTTGAAAGATTACTCCTTATAATAAATAATTTATGATTTCATTTTTAAAATGTCACGTTGTTTAATTCATTTCTTCATAATACTTACATCCTTTATTTTTACCCCATTACGTATTTTCGAGAATAATCTATTCGTATAGAGTCCTCATAAACTCAATTAATGGTTTTATTTTCTCAGAAGACATTTTTAATTAGTTGCATGTTAGATATTTAACTCAAAATAATTATACTTTGGAAAGGTTATTACATTACCGCCAAATTAGATTTCAGAAGTTTTTAATTAAGTTATAAAAAATCCGTTTCATAAAATGCTATTGCAAAGATAAGTGAAAAGAGCTAAAATATATTTCAGAATTTTACAGAAAAATAAATAAATTAAACTTATTTGTGCACAGACTATTACGCTTAAGTCAAAATAAATATTATGCTATAAAAGTCTTTCAGAAGAAATGTACGTTTCCAAATAAATATAACACATCATTGTCTTGTTTATAATATAACACATCATTGTCTTGTTTATACATAGCTGATAGTCTCGTATTATCATCAGACATGTTTTATTTATTTTCTTTTAATTTCTTAGCTGTTTCCAAGCACAAAAATAGCACTGAAACCGGAATTTTTGTTTCATTTGAATTTTACGTCTCATTTGCTTTATTAAGAAATTAAAACTATGACTTTATAATAGTGTTTCGCTAAACAAACAAATTAAACAAAAATTCTAAGATATTCTCCTATAGAAGTGTGTTTTGTTGTTGTTGTTGTTTATATGGAACCTTCCATAAAAGGAATCTAAATCAGAGCTAACATTGTTTAACGATAGAAGAAGTATAGAAATGTATTTTTAGAATTGAGATCAGTTTTCTCTACTTCACATTTGATCTCCACAATAATATTGAAACACTTAATTATAGCCTGAATTTATAACGTATAAAAATTTTGTAGTAATAAAAATTGAACCCAAAATGTATCCAAGGGTTTGTGCTTTTATTTATCCTTGTTTAAGTAACATGAAGTCAGTCCTATATGCAGTGGTGTAACTACAAGATATGCCCCCCCCCCTATATCTATTTCGCTATAGTTGTAGTTACGATTCTGGCTGATTGATATTCTTAACTTAACAGAATAGTTCAACCACCCTTTAGTTCAAACAAATTAAATTGTATGTCTCTCCCCTTGTTAGCAGTTCTTAAGTTTGTCAGACCCTTGGAGCCCCCCCTTTTGGATTGGGCCCCATGCAATTGCGAGGACTGCGGAACATATTATACCATTGCCAATATGTATTTTAACGTAAAATTTCCGACCTTCACTATATACCCAATTGTACCTCGTATCTTGAAGGTAGCTAATGATTCCTTTTCGTTTAAAAATATAAATGACTAAAAATGAGATTAAATTGAAAATAATAGATATAGAGAAGACGTTTCGCTGCTGTTAATGTTAACGTTATTGCTCAGAATTTTTTAAAAAACAATCAATATCACGATACATACAAATGTGTTTGTTTTTTTTTCAAAAAAAAAGAAAAACTTAAAATTGATTGAAGTATTATTATTTAAAACAGTCACGACTCACAAAATGTTCTTAGTAATTTTATTTTCTTTCGCTTGAATTTTCATTATTCTATCATTTTCATGCACCCAATTTAAGCTACGTTTTCTTGCAGGCATTACGTGTTAGATCGAGAAGACTTGGTCTATTTGAAAACAAATTTACGTGGTCAAACAAACAACCTCATGTAGACGTAACTGTATTTATTAAAACTACACGTAAAGTAGACAATAAAGTAAAGTGGGGGTACTTATAATAGAGTACTGAGTATGAAACAGTTATGAACGTTCAGTGTATGACAAAGTTTTACGAACTGAATCAAATAAACTCACAAAAACGAAGAATAAAACCCGTAGTAAAGGAAAATGTAGCTAAAGAGTGTTTATAACATTCTCTGAAGTGAATCAAAGCTAAATTATTGCAAAGTATAGTAAATAGTAAATGTAAAGGTGTAATGAAGGCAAACTTAGCTGAACATGCAGAAACGTCTGAATGCATGTTCACAAAGTGATAAGCATATGCTTTTAAATGAACTGCGCATGCGTATTTTAGATCTAAATAAGCTAAGAAAATACATGGAAATTTTATTTAGTGTAATGGTTTTGTTGTTGTTGTTGTTTTTTTTTATGAAATTACACGCGGGTTAATTGTTGTTTGTGTTAAATACTTTGCAAATTAAAAAACTAAAGTTGAAATTGAAGCCAGTCGTCACGTGATGACAACGACATTGTACCATCGTGTACCATACTTGTTGCATTGAAAAGTTTGACTAACCAAAAAGAGGTAAGGTAATTCTGAATTGAAAAACCAATATGCAATCTAAACTCTTCGGACAAAGCGGGCCCGGCATGGCCAGGTGGATAAGGCGTTCGACTCACAATCTGAGGGTCGCGGGTTCGAATCCGCATCCCACCAAACATGCTCGCCCTTTCAGCCGT